CTAGCTGTGGCCATAGTGGAGAAGATGCTGTGCAGGGGCTAACATCACAGAGTAAGACTCACTTCAGCAGGGCCCCAGTGCCCAATGAGCATGTCTCTGGTGGAGGTGGTTGTGTGGTGCACCTGTATGGTCTGAACCTGGCTACCGGGTGCGTTCGCTCTGGGGCTTCCCCATGCGCTCTGTCCTGGGCTACTCAGAATGAGTGATCTGGAGGTGGCTGCTACTTGTGCTGGGCTTGGAGATGCCCAGGACTGGACAAGCTGCAAAATGAGGCTGGCTGCCACTAGTGCTGGGCCTAAAAGAGGTGTGGGTCACATCGAAGTCAGATCCTGCTTGTTTGGGGTCTGTGAACCTTTGAGAGATTTTTAGGAAAGTACACAGCATGAGCCATGACAGGCTATTTGTATGGGAAATACTGGATATGGTATGGGTTGGCCTGCAAGTTGGATGGGTTGGAGTCTCAGGGAGTCACCAGTGCCTGGCAAACAGTGTTTACCAGGTTTATGGAGACTCAGATATGATACCTTCCTGCTGGCTCTATTGGGGGTGGGCTAAGCAAACAAACAAACAAACAAACAAAAACAGTGGTCTCAGTTAGCACTTCTGTCTGGGAGTGCTGGTCCTTCCGCCCTTGCCTTGAAGCCACATAATTCAGTGTCTCTTGGGATCTCCCTGATGCGCCTTCCTGAGCTGCTGCCTTAGTGCTGGAATTCAGACTAAGTACATGTGTGGGCCCTTTAAGAGGAATGTCTGTGATTCTAGCAGCCTTCCATGTCTCTCAGCCATAATCCCTGCTGGTCTGCACAGCTAAAATTTATGGGGGCTTCTCTTCTTGTCACTGGGACCTAGGTTGGGGGCCCTGGTGTGGGTCACGGACTCCTTTGTACTTAGAGAAATCTCTGAAGTCAAGATATCCCTCCCAATTTTTATCTGCCGCAGGTGGAGGTGGGACCAGCCCCTTTTGTGTCTCTGCCCCTCCTGTAAGTCTCGATGTGGCTTCTTCTTTATACCTTTAGTTGTAGGGCTTGTGTTCAGCTAGATTTCAGGCCATTCTCAAAGATAACCATCAGTAAGTTAATTGTTATTTTGATGCGGTTGTGGGAGGAAAAAGACTCTCCATTTCTTTTCACCTCAGAGCCTACACCCCTGTCCAAGCTACCATTACTTTACCTCAACATCTGATTGATTTACTGTATTTTGGCATGTATAATGTGCACCCACGTTTTTGGCCCAAACTTTCAGGAAAAAAAATCTTTCAATTGTTTAATTCAATTATTTATTTATTTATATTTAGATACTTGTTTTTTGTATTATAAAGGAATTTTAGCATTTATTTTTGAACATATTATGGTACAAGAAATTTTATGTAACAGATAATTACAAAATACAAGAACAGATACAAGGTACAAGAAATTTTATGTACCAGTAACAAATTTATGATATTTACACACCATAGAAGGACAAGAATTCTTTGTCACTGTCCATATCAGAAGTATCATCTTCAATTTCTACATTACTGGTGTCTTCTGAAAAGTCGTTCCTCATCCTGGTAAATTTCATCATCCTCAGTTCCATCCATAGCATTGCTGATGCCACATTTTTTAAACGATTTCACAATCACTTCCTATTTGACCCCGTTTCATGATCTTATGATCCAATCACAAACCTGGGCGATGGATGCTTTCTTGGTCCTGCCTGTTGGTGTTAAATCATTGCCGGCTGACTGCATCCATCACGTCCATTCTTTCTTTCTTCATTAGGGCTTTCAAGGGCTTGTTTAGACACATTAAGAGGATGCAGTTGGCTGGTTAGCCCACCAGTTATCACAGCAAGTTGGGTTTTCAAGTCCGCTGTGATTGCTTTTGCACTTCGTGAAACATGGGCTTTGAAGTGATCAAAAACAAGCAAAGCTGGTTTTTTAAGTAATCCTCCAGACCTTCATGATCAGACTTTGTTAAACCAGATTTTCGTTCTTTCTTCATTCATCCATCCTTTTTCATGCACGTGGACAACAACTCCACTTGGAATCTTTTCTTTTGGAAACGTTTTTCTTTTAAAGATGATCATAGGTGGTAGCTTTGTCCCGTCTGCACAACAGGCGAGAACAACAGTGAAATGTGTTTTCTCATGACCACAAGTTTTAACAGCCACAGTCTTTGCTCCTTTCATGTCCACAGTTTGGATGGCACATCAAACATGAGTGGGACCTCATCCATACTGGCGATTTGGGACAGCTCAAAGTTGTAAGTCTTTCACAGATTGATAACATAAGAATGAAATTCCAAAACTTGATTTTCATAGGCTGCTGGAAGTTTTTGGGCAAGTTTCGTTTGTGTCCTCATGCTCAAATCTTCTCTCTTCATAAAGTTAATGCACCATTTGGGTGTCCCTGAGAAATCATCAGTGTTTTTTTAACATGTAATCCTTTTACCTTCTTGTATCATCTTGGTTGAAACAGAGATCCTGGTTTGACGCTGCCTCAGAATCCAGGTCTTATAATCCAAATTCACCTCCTGCTCCACCTCTGGCCACTTCGGAGGTTCCCCCTGCATTGCCTTCTTCTGTCTCGGCATCTGAAGAAGCTTTTCCTCCTGCTGCCTCTACAGTCTGATGACACCCTCTGTGGGAGGAGGTACAGGGTCTCTCTGGGCAGCTCTGCTGCTATGCTTTTTAGCATATTTACTAACTTTTAGCTTAAAGCTTGCAGTGTATGAAAACCGTTTTGACATTTTCCAAGGGATTTTCTAATAATTTCTCCCGCCTACAGTGTACAAAGAGGAATGTTGTGCTGTTCACTCTAAGGCAATAAAGCATTATTACCATTAATAAATATATAAATAAAGGTAATATGAAGTGGATAACAATTGGCATCATCTATGTTACTCTCTGGATAAGAATATTTTTTTCTTTGTTTTGTTGAATTCATGACCAAAACTGCTTTTGTTGCAAGTTCATTGTAAGTTCAACAAAACCAATGATCATATTCCAGGGTATTATTTTGCGTACGAATATCATTATTGCTTTCTAGAGTTACACATTTAACTCATAAGCATAAATAAAAGAATTAAAAACACTTATATGGATATGGAATTAGTACTACCCATGTATAATGTGCATCCTTACTTTTCCCTCAAACATTTGGGCAAAAAAGTGCACATTATACATGACAAAATAAGGTGTTTCTTTCCCTTGCTTTTATCCAATCCATTTTTCACTAAGCATCCAGTAACCTTTCTAAAAGGTTTGATCTTAAATTAATGTAATCTTATCACCAACTGAATCTCATCATTCCTTCCTATAAACTTCCCAATGGCAACCCACTGAATTTAGAATTTTTAAAAAAATCAAACTTCCTTACCATAATCCGTAATACCAGGCCCTGTGAGATGTGGTCTTTGCCTATCTCACCAACCTCATCTTGTATCCCTTTCATCTTCGATCACTGAAGACCATCTACAGTGGTCTCTTAATTCCTCAAACATGAACAGACTAAGATTTTTCCTATATTAGGACTGTTACAATTGTTATTCCTTCAGTTTATAAAATTTTCCTTTCTCTCTAAACTGGATAACTTCTAACCAACCCTCAGGTCTTAGCTGAAATATTACTTCTTCAGAGAGGCCTTACGTGACACCCATTCCTCATCTTAATCAGATCTCTGTGTTACACTCTCATAACACCAGCCTAGCAGAGAGCATATATCAATTTGCTTAGTTAATTATTTAATATTTATCTCTCCACTTTTCTGTAAGTTCTATATAAGCATGAGCTGTGTTTGTTTTATTCACCAATGAATCTCTTGGAACCAGCATGGTACCCGACATATAATATAAATTCAATAAATAGTTAATATAAGAATGAATATGAGGGGATTTTTTGACAAGAATAGATAAGAAGTTATGATGGGAGATTTTAGAATATTTTATTCATTGCTTCCATTCAAAAACATGCATTTTAAGGAAAAAAGCTATCTGTTTTTAGTCAGAACAATTTCAGCTGAAAGTAATGAACAGCCAATTAAAACAGCTTCAATAAAAGGAAAAATTTATTGGTTCATGTAACTGAAAGTCTAAGGATAACATTGAACATATGTGGAGTCAGGAGTAATGTCATCTGTGTTAGTTCGTCTTTTCCCTACTCACATGTGGAAGGAGAAATGACCCTAGCAAACCTAGGCTCCACGCTTAATAAAGTTAATTTCAGAAGGTGAGAACTTCCTGATAGCTCCAATAAAAGTTCTGGCAATGACCATCATGGCCTAGATTGGTCCACATGTCTTTTGCTGAATCAGGAGAATATATATTCTCGTTAGTCACCTGAACCAAATAGGCTGAATGAAGCAGGGGGGCTTCTCCAAAGAAAAGTCAGAAGGCTATTATCTCACAAAAGGGATAGATACTGGGGAGGCCAGAAAAAAAGATATCCACTCTACTAAACTGTACAGAAAAATATCTGAAGAGGAACTATGCAGATTAGAAATAAAAATGCAAAAAAAATATTAATAGAAAAAAAGAAATAAAAATGCATATAAAATATTTACCTTAGAGAAAAGGAAATTTCACTACTTAAAAAAAAAATGAGATATTGACTATAGAAAAGCACATGATAATCTGAACCATGAGATACTGGAATAATAGTAACAAATATCCCAACATAGATGTTAACAAATTTATAAATGAACTAATCCCATAAATAATTTCTGCATGTAGACAATTAATAGAAGAATGGGTCCTGTACCAGTGAACAGGCTATTTCAAGCATCTTTAGGTTGTTTCATTCTTAAGTAATTGAAATCATGTCTTATATAATTGGTATAATTATAAATTGGCCTTACCCTGGCCATGTAGCCAACCTGCAGTTGGTTAGATCATTGTCTTGATTCACCAAGGTTGCAGGTTTGATCCCCCGTCAGGGCACATACAAGAAATCGGTATTTCTCTTTCTCTCTCTCTCTCTCAAACCAGTCAATTAAAAAAGAAAAAGATTACGTGCTTTCTTATGCTTGCTTTGGCAATACATAACAGTAAAACTGAATCAATACAGAGAAGATTAGCATGGCCTTGTGTGAGGATGACTTGCAATTTCATGAAGCATTCCACATTTTTGGGGGGGAAAAATTGGTCTCATCTAGTTGTCATGTAGGTCCTGAAGTCCCTTTAGTTTGAATAATTAAAATGTTCACCCTGGGCCTGGCTGGTGTGGCTCAGTGTATTGTTATGATTTGTTGATTTTACATCTGATGTCTCAGCTCCACCTTGTGGTGGTGATTGGATTTAAGTTTGCCTCCTTTCAGAAGCAAGATCTACTGGCTAAAAAACAGTGGGGCACAAGGAATTTAATGAGCATGGATGAGAGTAATAAATGGACTTCTAGAAGCTTCCTTATATCTACTTTATTCCAAACAAAGATGAAACTGAAAATTATATAAATGGAAGTTTTAATATTTTCTTCCTGCTCCCAAGGATATACTCCCTGAATTACCCTGTTCCACTTTGGAGACCTCTTACCTAAAATCTTCACACATATGTCCTACAAGATGCATACAATTATATTCATTAAGCCAATGACTTTTATAATGAAAAAATGGAAGCAATCTAAATGTCCATCGACAGGTAAATGGGTAAAATTTCTAATATTCATTAAATGGACTATAAGTACTCAATGGAATACCTTAGAGCAGGTTCAAAATAACTGGATTAGAGCTACCCATGTCACAATGGATAAATCTCAGAAACTTAAGGAAAAAGGAAGTTGTAGCATGATATATTTGTATGAGACCACTTTAAAATATGAGCCCTTTAAAATATGTTAAGCAATCCTACATGTTATTTATGGGCACAAACATACAAAATAGAATGTACACATGCATGGCAATCAAAAACACCTGGTCAGGCCCAGTCAGGGCCTGATTCTGGTGTGGCTCAGTTGGTTGGGTGTTGTCCTGCAAAGTGATGGGTCACAAGTTCAGTTCCTGGTCAGGGAACATACCTAGGTTGCAGGTTCGAGTCCCAGTCTGAGCATGTGTGGGAGGTAGCAGATGATCAATGTTTCTCTTGCACTTTGATGTTTCTCCCTTTCTTCTCCTCTCTCTAAAAATAAATAAATAAAATGTTTAAAAACAAACAGAACAAGAAAAAACCCCACCAAAGTCAAGATAATGGTTACTCTGGAAAGAACTAGGATTGAGGAGGCGTATGGAGCACATGTAAAAATGCTAAGATTTGACAAAGCTTGGAGTTGGGTACTATGTTAGATATATAATATTCTGAATACTTTTCTATGTGTTTAAATTATTACATAATATTAAAATACTTAGTAAAACAGATTAGAATAAAGTTAACCCAAAGAAGATATGGGAGGAAGACTACAAGGAAAAACATTATTTTATATCTACTTTGTACCAGAGCAAACCCAGTAGGAAATGGAGTGGTATAGGATTACCTACAAGAATTATGATGGGCAGCCCTGACTGACGTGGCTCAGTGGGTTGGGCCTTGGCCTGCACATCGATGTCTCTCTCCCTCTTTCTTCTTTCATTCCCCTTTCTTTAAAAATAAATAAATAAAAAGAATTATGATAGGCAGACCTTTGGAGTGAATGAATCAAGAGCTAAAATATTAAAAAAAAATAAGGGGGAGTGACCTTAGGGGTATGTCGATGACAGTAGAGATACTATGTGGTATATCCTGGTGGCAAGCTGAGGGTTTTTAGAGAGGAGAGAGGGAGGATCATCGGGAAGGAACAAGGAGGACAAGCAGCATACCTACCTCATGACAAGGCTCAGTGGGAGGGGGAGTGCAGAGGTAGCATGGTCCTAGGAGAGAGTCATATTCCTTTAGGACAAGAAGGTTAAGGGACTGTTCAGAGGAGAGGGTAAAGATATAGTAGATTTTGCTGATGACTGGTCATGAGTTCTAGAGGGTTCTCAATAAAAAAGAATGGATTAATGAAAAGTGAGAATTAAAATGTACAATGATTGGGTAAGCTCTGTGTAATATGTAAAGTGCTACATAAATGTAAGGCATTATACTACCTCTTTTTTTTTCAAAGATTTTATTTATTTACTTTTTAGAGAAAAAGGAAAGGAGGGAGAAGGAGAGCAAGAGAAATATCAATGTGCAAGAGAAACATCAATTGCCTCTCACATGCTCCCAACTAGGGAACCTCGCCTGCAACCCAGGCATGTGCCCTGACTGGGAATTGAACCTACAACCTTTTTGTTTGCAGGCCAGTGCTCAACCCACTGAGCCACACCAGGTAGGGCTACACTACCTCTTCAACTGCCTCAGTGGAGGAAACTTCATTCTGTTTTCATGGTTTTCTTTATATTAATTTGTATTTTCTAAATTGACAATATTCTTTTTCATTCTTATATATTTTTTTCTCTTATGGCTCTGCTTATATTCCCTATACATCTTTTCCAAAATGGGTTTGGTGAGAGGGGAGAAAAACTCTCCTCTTAAGCAAAACACTGTCATGCAACTCTAATTGCATTATCTCCTATTATCTGTCTGCCTGAAACACAAATATAAGGATCACAGGAATTTTAGAGCTGGAAGAGAAGTTAAAGATAATGTAATGAAACCTCATTTTACAACTGACAAGAGATTATGTGGTTTGCCAAATTTACTTGGCTAGTTACTAGCAGAACCAGGGTGAGAATCTATGCTTTATATTCAACGTCCTTCTGGTTTTCTTTGAACAGCTGAAACACAGAAAGCTCCCACTAAAGGTGCACTTTACGCTGTGCTTGAGTGTAGGTTTTAATGTCAAACTATCCAAATTCAAGCTAAAATCTCTTCGCTGTGCCACTTTGTGCAAGTAGTCTAACTGCTCTGTGGCTCAGTTTCCTCATCTACAAAGTGGAAGGCATAGTCACATCTATTTCAAAGAGTAGTTATAAGGATTAAATGAATTAATGTACTTACAGCACATAACATTGGCACATAAAGAGGGACCGGAGCCCTGGCTGGTGTAGTTCAGTGGATTGAGTGCTGGCCTGTGAATGGAAAGGTCACTGGTTCGGTTCCTGGTCAGGGCAAATGCCTGGGTTGTGGATCAGGTCCTCAGCTGGGAGCGTGTGGGAGACAGCTGATTGATGTATCTCACACATCAATGTTTCTCTCTTTCTCTCCCTCCCTCTCCCTCCCTTCCTCTCTCTCTAAAAATAAATAAAATCTTTCAAAAATGTACAATTCAGTGGCTTTTAGTATAGTCACAGAGTTGTGAAAAAAAAAAAAGTGATCCGACATCTACCTAATCTGTTTTTACTATTTAGCATACACTCTGCTAGGTGCTAATATAACAGTGATTGACAGAGGTTGGGATTTTACCCACAGTTGTTTTTCTATGGTCTGGAGTTCAAGAAACCAAAACACACCAAAACCACAGTTGCGATACTTTTACAAATTTGGATATTTCACATAGAGGTCTAAATTTCCATTTCCTCTTGAAAACTGTAATGTCTAACATCGAGGCCAGAATTCTCATGTAACAATGGGTTGGTGCTATAAGCACCTGCCTCATTTAGTCCACAACACTCACATAATGTATGTGCATGTACTCAAACTGTTCTAATTTCCATCTCCTAATTTTACCTGTCTGACCACTGCATGCCTTTAAAATTGCATCCACTAAACAACGCATAATACAATGTGATAGAAACAAGTACAAAGTTGCAAAGTACAAAGTATGGAAGTAGCCTGAAAGAACATGAGTGGTGGAGGTACTGCTGGTGATATATGTTGTCCAGAAAGTGGCTTGAAAAAGAACAGGAGTGGAAGATGGTTGCAGAGAGAATAAGATGTACAAAGACATTGAAATGGAAACAGTTTGTATGTTTAGCAACTGAGGGGTTCAGTTTTGAAGAATATAGTAAGAAGAGGAGAAGTAGGCTGACACTAGATAATAAAAACCCCTTAGTTTGGATTTTACCCTATAGGGGACAGACAGCCCTTGAAATATTTTCTGTCTCTAAATTCTAAATCTAACTTTAATGCAATTATATCTGGGTGTCCTTACCATCCTCCGTAAAATGTCTTTGGACCTCACGTTTGAGCATGAAATGCTGTAAAATCCACAATATTCTATGAAATGTCTGTCAGTAGCAAGTTGGCACTTTAAGAAGAAACTCTGTATTTATAATGGATGAAATACAGTTTTAGATATGTCTGCAAATGAAATTTCCTCATTTGTAAAATGGGGATAATAATAACACCTACCACAGGGCTATTAAATTGAGAATTAAATTCAGTAAAGCCCATGTAAGGAGCTTACCAGGACACTCAATACAGAGTAAAGGTAGTCAACTGACTTTAGTTATTATGACTGTGATCTTCATTGAATCTTCCTTGTGAATCATCCCTCTTTTTGACAAAACATAACATTTAATTAAGTCAGATAAGCACTTTTCATTGAAAACTGAAGTTAAATCGAGACTAGTGGCATCTTTGGGCTGTATTTGTGGAAATGCCAAGATAAAACTTTCTTCTATATTATTGATTGCAGAAGCTTCGAGAACAGTGTGAAGTTTTGTGTGTGTGTGCAACATAGTGCAAGTTACTAATTGAACCTAGTTTATTAATGGTAATAAAGGTGCTTAGGTAGTAGAGACCGTTCTCCAGTTCCCCTAGGCTCAAAGAGGAGGAAAAACACTCAGAAAATACCTTTTCACATCTAACAGTAACATCTTAGAGAGCTAGAGAGCTCGGACAATTACTTGGCGGGAAAAGAATAAATACAGTCTAAATTCGCACAATCTGTTTCTGTTTAGTTTATAAATTGCGGTCGAATCTGTCAGCTTTCGTGCCTTGTGGGACTTGAAGTCCAGAGGTTGTAAGTGTTCGGGACTACTGAAGCTTGGCAGCCAGCAGCCCCTGCAGGTCTGAGCTGTAGGGACTACAATTCCCGACAGACACCGCAGGCCGCGCCGTAATTACGGGCAACCAACCGTACCTGAGCAGGGCAAGCCCCGCCCCCGGCTCGAAAACTGCCTCTACCAATGGCAGCGCTCCCAGTGCAGAGCCTGTGGGTTAGGTTGTGAGGCTCCGGCTGAAGCCGGGGAGGAGCCAAGGGGTTCAGAAAGGGCTCGGCCGCTGGGAGGGTC